GAAAATGGATTTGAGGTCATGAAGTGGATGGAAATGGTCATTGAAATGAAAGACCTAAAACTAGGTTTCCAAAAATACCCTTAACTTGTGAAGACCATAACCTGAGCTCCACACATGAGAATGATGAGTTTTAGGACTTTTTGGAAAGCTAATACAATGAGGAACAACTCTCATGTTTGATAAAAAAATTAGGAAGAGCTTGGTTCCTTGTGAAAAATTCCTTGGAAGTGAAATATCTTTGAGTGCCTCTAAAATCTCCTCATCTGATGAGACCAACTTGTTGACACTATAACTTGATATGTACAAACCCAATGGATGAGTTCTTGTACTAAAAAGAAAGCTTGAGAGATGATGAACAAGTCTCATTTTTGATGTAAAATGAGACAAGACTTGTATCATAGTAAAATTTGCCCTTGAAGTTAGAGACTAAACGAGGGGATTTTACACTTGAACTCATCTGAAACCCTAATTTAGTAACTTCTTGAAATCTTGAATCTTCTTGACTTGATCTCAACATGACACTAGAGACAACTTAGGATGACTTCTCATAGCTTCAATGATCAATGATCAAGTTTTGAGCCCTCTCAAATCCACAATTGACTTTGTGTTGACCAGATGAAACCCTAATCTCTTGTCCATTGACTGAGGTTCTTGCAAATGATTTATGTGATCATACATCTTCCACAGAGGAACCCTAGGATAAACAAAGAGCTCTTGAACCATGTCTCATCCAAGGAAATGACCTCATGTGCCTCCACGAATCCTCAAGATAGGAGGTGATACCCATACACAAACTTTCTCCCCTGAAGGAGCTTTGAGACCCAACTCTAATGATAATGGACTCTTGATGGCTTGAAAATGTAACCTTGCTTGAGCTTCAACACAAAACTCTTCTCTTGAGTGGAAAAAACAACATCTTGATCCCCTGTCTAGAACCAATGCTATGCAAATACAAAATGCTAAATGATATGAAACATAAGTCATGCCAAAATAAAAGGTTGGGCAAATTTTGGGGTGTAACAAGGTTCCAATGGGAAATCATTGAAGAGTGCACGTAGGAAAAGCAAGGACGAATGTCGAAGCACTATAAATCTCGGTGTCATCTCACTCTCCATCACTCTTGCATTTAAATTCGTAGTGATTGCATGCTTAGGTTTTTCAATTCCTTTGTATTATATCGTTTTATTCTTAATAGCAATTTATTAAGAAAAGCTTTAGGTTTGGTTGGAGTTGGACAACTATTCAAATTAGTATTGTGATTGATAAATCTGGAAACAAATTGAATATTAGGATTCCACACATTGAATCAATTGTGTACACTCCTTGTGAGTTAAAAAAATTGAATCAGTTCATACCAATATTTTCATTATTATAATCTTGGATATTTTTGAAACGAACAGTGTAAGCTTGACCATATTCAACTGTATAATTTTCATTTTCACATCAAACCTTCCGCTCACAACTCATTTTTGAAAACACTCTGATTTTAGAAAATGGTGGTTGCATATTTTATTTAATTTGGGTTTATTCATCCCCTCTAGACCACTTTTCTACTTCTACATTCACACCTAACAATTGGCATCAAGAGCTGGTATTTTGATTGTGTCTAATTGGCATCCAAAAGATTATAAACATGTTACAAGATAACAGTCATAAAATAGCGTATAATAGAGCACCATTTTTCAAAGGCAAAAATTATACATATTGGAAATCGATCATATATGTACACTTATTGTTGGTTGTCAAAAATCTCTGGTGTGTTGTCACCGAGGGAACATATATTCTAAAGGACGATAATGACGTTGATAAACATCCAAAATATTGGGATGATGATGAAACCAAAAAGGTTTCGTATGATTTGAAAATAAGGAACATAATTATTTCAGCACTGTCACACCCTAATTTTTGACCTTAAGATTCCACCTCCTTCCTTTTTTGCTTGCATGATATCTGTTTTCTTTTGTATATGTTTATTACAGCTAACCAGTTTGTACAAGTGCGATAATGGTAAGTATAGATCCTTACAGTCAAGTACTTCAAGGTGACCGTTGGATTATAGAGATCTTGGGATCATTCTATCGGTCGTTTCCTCAAAGATTCTCCAGAATTTCATCTATTCGCCCCGGATGATATGTCTCTATCCTCAAGGTTCTTCCAGGACATAGTTCATACACCAGTTTACGTCAGCATCTTTTCGATTTCCTAAAGTGGGGTCATCATTTATGAGAAGAGTTTGTTTTTTGGATTTGTTAATTTAACATGGCAAGTATGGATAGGGATCATGAGTAAGATTTTGGGTGGTATAGCGCCAAGATGAAGTTGGCTTATAAGAGCCTTAGGTTACATGGGAATTCCTCCAAGAGTGTATAACTCAAGAGTTTTTCGAATACAAGACTAGTTCACACCACTTCAAGCATCATTTTTCTGTTCATATCACGAATTCAAGTGTTGGACGTTATTGGTATCTTGTGATGAAGTAGAAATGAACAAGAGTCCAGATTCATTTTAAGTACAACCCTGACGGATTGGAGGAATAAAACAAAAGGTTACCTTGAAGAATTTCAAACAATATTAGATAGATTGGAGCAAGAGGATGGTTATGAGGATGGTAATTTAATGATGGAGAAGAAAACAAGGCTTGATTATGATAAAGTATAAGCTTTAGAAGAGAGCTTTCAATGTATAATTTGAGTTTGGACATTCTAAAGCTCCTCTTCTCTGCCTCTACGCTCATTTCCAACCATTTCAGCAATTCATTCCAACTTATTGGCTGTGATCTCTAAAAGTGGAAATGGATCCACGTGATGGTATATTACCGCATTCTCATGTTTTCATCAAGCACGTCTTGTTTGCAATATGTTAAACACAAAATTATAACTTTATCTTCAAGCAATCAATTCCACAAACCAAATCAATTTCACACGCTCAAAATGGATTACAAAATGTAAACCAAGCATTCATTTATAAAGCCACAAGTTTGTTATTCATAAGTACAACGAATACTAATTTGTTGGAATTATAAGACAACACAACACCAACGTTGTTTTTTTACCATTACTTAGCTACTATCCTAAATTTCCCCTACAAGACACCCTACAGAACCTACAGTATATGGATTGGAAACGTTGAAAGCACGACAACACCAGGAAGTAGGACGGCTCCTGCATGCCCCATTCCTCAATTCTAGAAACACCCCACCGACATTACTCTTGCAAATTAGATGGATGCTCAAAGGCTTTGAGGCGACCTCCGCATCATTTATTCGTTGCTCACAACCAAGCGAGGTTTAGCACTTCATGCTTCTTCTTCCCGTGATCTCTGCTTGTTACTAGCAAGTTCTTGGGCATCGGCTGCACAGAAAAGAAAACATGACTCAGTTGACATCAAAGCGTGCTAAAGACGAAGCTGAACTGAAAGGAGCGAGCACAATGATCTTGTCTTACGTCCTTTTTTTTCGTCATCACCACTTGTGCAGTATGACGCCAGTTCTGGGCACTGTACGGATGAGGCAGACACTACAACACATAAATTGTTTTTCAGTTAGTTTGAACTTGTGCATTGCGGTTCGACAGGTCCACTCGACCTGCATTTCAACAACATGACTTGATTTAGAAAGTACTCCTGAGTATTGTTAAATAGAAAGGAATTTAAAGCATACCCAGCAGACATCACACTCTAACATGATTTCTTCTTCAGATTAATTTGGAAAACCCTTTACACTTATGCACTTCCTTGATGCTGGAGATTTTGGGCACGGGCATCGGGCATACACATCGTCAGCACTTTAAACCTTCAATTATCCCATAATGTCGTCGACCTCATTACGGTTATGGTAGTGGTTCTTCATGCATAAAGTTTGAAGTTAAACCAGAATTCAATGCAGCTAAGGCTCAAATCACATGTTAAATTTCATGGTTTTGTTTTGAAATTCAACCCACAGATTAACAACAGCCAAACACTTGTTGCCTGAGCTTGAAGACCACTGTTACGTCTTTGTGCTCCTTTTGCTTATTGACCAGAAGACGATATGAGGAGGCTAAAGCCCGTCCCTCCGCTAGCGTAGGCCGGCTCAAGAGCTGGAATAGAAGAGTTGTTAATGTTATAGCCTTAAGACTGTAGTGTTATCACTTATATAGCTATGAGCTTACCAGAGATCTCGCGGAAGTTCGTGGAAACCTCTTTCAGCTGCATAAGATTTCTCCCCTGCACCATGATGAACTTGGTCGCGAAACACTTCTTAATCTGTTACCTCGTAATTACCTCCATTACAACCTATATGATAAGGCAGAGAAGCTGAGGCCCAAGGCTCCGCGATTCGAGGCACATTCAAACCTGCCAAGCCAAAGAGGATTTCGAATTAGTTATCGCCAAATCGAACAACGAAAATCAAGGCATTCAAAATATTTTCAAAGCAGTGGATGTTGAAAACAGAGGTCCTACCGCAAGACTTGAGCGTATGATTTAAAGTAGATTCCAAGTTGAAGAGCACTTCAAGTCTCTCCCTTTTGCGAGGCGTCCTTAATTCGCATGAATAACCTGAACAAGAGAAATACAGAGCATTATTTCAATATTCGTAGAGCTGTTAACCGTTCAGAGCATTTTTTAACAAAAAATGGAAAGTTCATTTAGACAATCCAAATTTTCATTACTTGCCAAGACAGCACCCTACATGATCAGTCCAAGAAGGAAGGTTCTTGAAGGAAAATTTCAACTACAACATATACGACCAGAAAACATTTAAAACCATCCAACAATGTTTTTCAAAGTCTTTAACAATTTTCTAATTTCGGACAAACATGTCGATATTGAAATTGGTATTGTCTTAATACGGAATAATGGGAAGAAGATTCTGCACAACTATAAATTAAGATGAAAACAGAGACATGAACACGGAAAAAATCCACACAAACAGTTCACAGATAAACCCCCAAAAATCCCAATTTGTAGATCCAAAAAGGAGGACTTATCTTCTCAGCACCATCAAACTTAATCGCAGCCATTTACGCGAATTCGACATCCTCAATCACCCCCTCTCGAGCCGTCACGAAACCCCTGCAAGAACCACGCGATCTTGAGTTTATTTTACTAACATTATATTCTTTAACTTGTTTTTGTTTATGTTGACATAGGAACTGAAGGTGAAAAGGAAAGAATTCACAACAAACACACGAACAGTCACGAAGCAAATCCCCAAATCGAAACCCTAAGTTCAAGAGAATGAACTTATCTTTTTCGCCGCCGTGAATCGTTATCTTCTTCCACAAAACTCTCGCGTCGTCGCGAGCTTTAACCACCTTCTTCATTTGCCATCGTCGGAGCCACTGAGACAAAATCACCTTCATCGTCGCCGGAAATCAACCTTTCCACCTCCGACCATCACACCTGCGATAGAGACCATTAAATCGTGAGTTTTTTTTCTTTTTTGCTAACATTTAACATTTTGTTGTTTGATTTATGTAAGAAAAGAGAAAGAGAAGAATAACAATATGAAGAAGAAAGTCGCGATGAGAGAAGAAGAGGTGAAGGACGAACGAAGTGAGAAGGACGAAATCGAAGAAGAAAAATGGTGGAAAGGTTGAAGAAGAGAGGAAGAGTGAAGAACGGCGAAAGAGGAGGGAGATAGTAATTTAGGGTTTCAGATTTTATTGTTGTAATCCAATGCACGCACGTCCACTGAAAATCCCATGCACCTTCACTCACTGCCACCCATTCTCATCGTGATCACGATCCACGTCGCCACCTGCACCCTCACGATAAGCCCCTCAAGGCCTACCTTACCCAATCCGCGCCATTCACCTCATTAACCCATTTAACAATAATTCAACTAACTTATCCTTTTATTTAATTAATTAACTGATAATTAACACCTTAATCAACGTTTTCTTAGTCAAAACCAATTAATCTTTTTTATCTAATTAGCTGAATTGATAAACCATTTTAATTAATTAACTTATATTTTCCTAATTAATATCTCTTGTAACTAATTAATCTTTTATCTAAATAACCTTTTATTAATAATTTATTCTTTAATCATAACCCTTTTTTATATAATATAAAAATCCATTCCAACTTACATAAAATTTCATTTAATAATCATAACCCCATTTTTTCAAAAATAACTCTTACCTTGTGATAATAAGTAAAATTTATTTTATGCTTTTAAAATAATAGTAAATAACAACTTTTTTTTAGTAACTAAGAATCTATCCTATTTAATAAAACTTTCTTTCTTAAATTTACATAAATTAAAATCTTTTCTATCTAATTATTATTTAAATAATAAACTTTTACTAAACGAATCTAATATAATTTTTCTTAAAACTAATCTCACCAAATTAATAAAACCTTTTCAATTCATAAGAAAATACAACCTTTTTTTCAAAACCAATTCAAACATTTTCTTAAAATAATCAAAATCAATCCTCTTAAAATCAATTCAACCTTTCTCTAATCAATCTCCCTAAAATGTAATCAATCGTGCATGCTTGCGTCCTCACTCCTTTCACGCACTCCACTTTCACTCACTTAGCACTTTCATGAGTTTGTGTATGTTTTATTTATCTGCTTTTTACTTTATGCGCATTTACTTTATCGCATTGCATTCCGTCCAAAGAAAGAACTTGCACGTAACGTAAAACTTGCGCGTATGCATCTCATTTGCATCATTTCCCCATGATCCTTGATCCCATTCAAGTAGATCTCTTAAGTTTAGATCCTACCCCATAGGAAGGACATTTATCTTTACAACTTAGAATAAACAATTCAACTCAATTCAAACTATTCAAACACATTAGAGAATAAGATGTTAATCATCTTAAGCGAGATAAAACTCCTACCCCATAAAAATTCAATCAATTCGTAGGGACTTTGCCTTAAGAGAGATAGTGGCGTACTTGTCGATTAAATTCCGAGTACTTGAGTCTTTCTCTTAAAACGATGCAAAGACTATTTTCCTACAAAGTTGTGGTGGTTAAATCAAGTAATCTCCCTTAAAATGACAACTCATCTTTTCTCCTAAAATCAATCAATCAACTACCCTAAACCCGTAGGAACTTTGACCACAGTCAAAGAACTCCTCAAACCCTTTAGGGGAACTATGAATACTCTGATTCCACTCCCGTAAGTATATGTAGGCATAAGATGCGATATCTTATCGAGTATACTTAGAAATAAACCCCTAGGTCTTTCACCCTTAAGCAGATAAACCTTAGCAATAAACAAACATAAAACAAGAGGTTCCTGTAGAGTACTACAGAAACTTAGGATGCTAGCACCTTCCCTAAGTTTAACCAACCCCCGAACCTATAACTCTCTAGCTTGAATTTTCATTGCATTGTGGGTATTTAGATCTTTTTCCCTTTCTTTGGACAAATCAAAGTTCGGTTGCAAATGAATAAGATTCAAGCTCATCAATAGCTTGGTATCCAAATTTCACCGCGACAGAAATGGCGACTTCACTGGGGACAAAAAATCCTTGTGGGTTTCCCTAACTTGTTTATTATGCTTGTTATATATTTCCTTAATTGCTTATTTGTATATTTCTTTTGTTGCTTTTTGGGATGGTATCTTTGAGTGGTGAGACAAAGTCCTACACCCGGACTTGAGTGAACTTAAGATAGGATGGTGATATATTCGACGAGGCTTATAGGGAGTGAGTCCCGACCAAGTTGACTCGAGAATCACCGCTCAGTTGAGACCCTTTCTAAAATAGTTCGGTTGAACGAGTATAGTCGTGAAAACTTTTACTATTTTTGATTGGAGTCCATGGTATTGAGGACCGTAGTTACCTTTAACCCCACTTTGGCCTTTATTAGGATGTAGTGCGAGATTATGAGGGAGTAGTCCCGAAATAGTGCTACGCGATGCTACACTCAAAAGATGTTCTCTTGAGAATATTATTAACCACCGAGTTAGTCGGGAAATTGATAATATCCGAAAGATGGACTAATGACTTTGGGAACCTTTTTAGAACCTTGTTCTACAGGTACAATCCTCCTTTAGTCCACGTCCTTTGGGAATGGGTATACCCTTTGGCTCCATGCTCGTTGCAAACCTAGGGTCCCCTTGTTTGTTTATCTTTGTGTCCTCATGTGCTTACATGTGTTTGTTGCATTCATAAGCATCATATTGCATTGGTTTCATAGATTCTCGAGTTCATTTATAAACATTATAGAACCAATAGAGATTACAAGAGAAAATATTTTGAAATATTCTTTTAAGAGTCCTAACTTGGATGACCTAAGGAAGTTAAGAGCACTAATTGAAGAATCAAGAAAATTCAAAAGACAAATACAAGAGGCTTCCCTTATCATTGAAGATCAGTAGAAGTTCAAAAGACTTTCATTAATATTGAAGATCCAAGTGGACAAGGGCTTCCTTCCTTATTTTCCAACAAGAGATAGAGGATTTATTTTCCTCTATCACATTACTCCTTAGAAGTTGATCATGGACAACTTATCTTCAAGAAGATCCAAGTGGAAGAACAAATCAACAAACACGATGAAGGACTTCCTTAGGACTTTATTAGCTTTTATTTAGCTATTATGTTAGGACTCTTATAAGAATGTTTCTATGTAATCCGATATCAAAAATAAATAAATGAATTTTCTATGATACTCTGTAACGTTAATAAATACTCGAGTCCCATGAAACCTTTCATTTTCTGCATTCTTGCATTAGCATCCTTCATTTAGCATTTTGCATATGAACGTGTCTCTTCTCTTCTGTGGCTCGTCCGGTCTTCTGTCTTTGTCTGTCAGCTGGCATCTCGACCATCTGACCAAGCTCGAAGTACGTACTAAAGGATAGAAAAGAGAATAGAGGATATGGATTCCATAACTGGCTTCAGAGTTGTGACCAATCCGTTATTTGATCTTCCCTCTGACGACAATGTTCAACGAGTGGATGTTCCTACACAACCTCAGCCTGTACAAGACAACCTAGTTAATCAAGATGATGAAAGAGTTTCCAAGTTTCCACAGAGTATACCGAATCCTAATGTTCATGCTAAGATGAAGGTGGACGATCCTAGATTTATAGCAATTGAGAAAGAATTTCGTGATCTTAAAGAACAATTGAAAATGATGAAAGGAGCTGATGCATCTGATCTGGATGCTCATGACTTATGTTTAGTTCCAGGCGTAATTATTCCTCCAAAGTTCAAGATGCCTGTCTTTGAAGTTTACAAGGGTGTTAGTTGTCCAAAATACCATTTGACGATGTTTTGTCGAAAGATGGCTGCTTATGTTGGCGATGACAAATTGATGATTCACTGCTTTCAAGAAAGTTTATCTGGGGCATCCTTGATATGGTATATGAAGCTACAAAGGAATCTAATTCGGTCGTGGAGAGATTTAGCTGATGCTTTCGTGAAGCAATACAATTACAATTTGGATGTGGCTCCAGATAGTGATCAATTGATGAACATGAGCATGAATGAAGATTAATCTTTCAGGGAATACGCTCAACGATGGAAAGAGTTGGCAGCCCAAGTTCATCCACCACTTCAAGAGAAAGAACTAAGCAAGATGTTTCTAAGAACGCTGTCAGACCCTTATTATGATAGGATGGTGGGCGTTGTGCCATTAGATTTCTCAAAGATTGTGGAAGTCGGAGTAAACATTGAGAATGCGCTCAAAAGTGGAAGAATTCAAGATGACTTGAATAACCAAGCTGACGAAGAGATTTCAGTTGATGATTCCCTAGAGGAAAGAAGTGTCGATGTTAATGAAGTTTGGGATTCCTCTCAAATCCTGTCAGATCCGGTTCCAGTACCTCATCCTCAACATCGGTATGAAGCAACTGCTCAGCACAAGCAGCGACTATCTCATAAGCGAAGAATGATATCTCTAGATCAACATCAGAATCGACAGGTTCGTAGACGGTTTCAGAGGCAGAAGGCACCTCTGGGTATTCCAAGAGAAGAAACTCATTGGTTTGATCTTATCCCATTAACTTACAGACAACTTTGGTCTTATTTTGCTAGAAACTCGTTGATGACACCCAGAAAGACTAGAATCATGAAGTCTCACCCACCGTGGTTCAACCCGAATGCCAGCTGTGAATTTCATGATGGAGCGATGGGGCATTCGATCGAAGAGTGCAAAGTTTTTCAAGAAAAAGTCCAAGAAACGATAGATGATGAAGTGCTAACCTTCAAAGGAGGAAGCCCGTGCCTGAATGGAACACCATTATGCTGATGTACGCTCCAGAAGATCCTTTTCAAGCCGTTGAGATCCTGAGAAGGGCTCATCAGATTGTTGTGTTTGCTTAGGTGTACTTTTTTTTTTATTTCTTTGATTAATAGCTTAATTGGCATGAAAGAACTTGTTACTTTGAATAA